TGCGAGAGCGTGAGAATGTTCTTGCCGTACCTAGCTGACTGTTCGCGCGTTTGCGTGGAAAGAAAAACCTAGTTGCGAGAGATGACAAAGTCTGACGATACGTTTACTTTTTCATGTAAACTATCTTCTTTTGGAACGATCCGGGTGCGTTCGTTTCGCGTGTTGCGTCTCTGTGGAATACGTGGAATACGTGGATGCGTTTAAATCTGCTTTGCACCTTTTTCTCGTCCACGATTCAACGTGTACGGATGTGAGCTAATTTTCGCGCGCTTCTCCGATTGTCAAACGTGTATCGTCGCTTTTTATCGTCTTCGAACGTTGCAAACTCGCGATAAACTTTCATCGCGTGACAAGTTTTTACTTTTAAACGCGAGGTAATGGAAAATTCGGAAAACGACGTTGCTTCGTCGATGACGTCTGTGACGTCGTTGTCTTTGAAACTGATCCCGTCGTCTTTCTCTGATAATCTTTCGCTGCTGCGACGTACAATTTTTAACGACGATGTAAATCCCGAATGCGATTGGCAATGACGTGTCAATTGCTAAACGGACGCAACTCGCAACGCGTTTCGAAGATGAGAGATCGACGTGCGAATCTTTAACCGGATATGTAATTGCCTGATTTTCGACGCGAGATGAAAATTCTCGACGAGTAAACGTTGCGTCTCGTAAATGTACGACAAACGTGCGACGGCGAATTGAAAATTTATAAGAGCAAGATCGAACGTTCGTAGTTCCTATTTTGTGAACGAGTATGAAAATATTTATCTTCAGTTTTGAGAGATGTAATTCTGTTGGTAATAAAACTCTCGATACGTTTGTACGTTGCGGTAATTTTTATTTACTCCGTCCTTTGCGGGCGCCGCGTTGTACGATGGTTAGTCTCGGCGCTTCGGCCTGAGAAACGATACGGGTGAAAACCCGTATACGGGTTTTTCGCCCGCGAAAACTATCGACGCAGCTGTGCGCGTTATCCGTTGCTTCGACGTTAACGGTTTTTTTTTTTTTTTTTTTTTTTTTTTT